ACGAGGCGAACTTATGCCAAACTGCCTACAGAAAAAAATTCGGTAAAATCTCGTCCGTTTTTGGAAGAGCCTTCAGAGAAAAAATTCGGTAAAAACTGATCTGTTTTTGGAAGGCTGGGGCAGTAAAAGGTAAATTGTGTCAAAGATTCAGGACTCTTAACCTCGTCTCAGGTATTTCTTGATTCACTTTAATCAGAATCATTCATTTATTTGGAAATTATCAAACACCCGGATGTGTACCTTCCCGTTGTATGTGCGTGAGTCCTGCACACACAACCCCCTCCACACCTCACTTCGCCCTCCGCACCCGCCCTCATCTTGCCCCGTGACACGCCTCCGCGAAGCCCTCACAGGATCCACCACTCTGCGACCCCACACCAACCGCAGCTCGCGGCGGCCCACCTATTGTACCCATTCGACCGCTCCAGTCCCCTCTCTCTCCCACCATTCCTCAACTCTGCCCAGCCTCCTCTTCTCCGTCATGCGCGGAATGGGCCCATATTCGAACTCCCTGCCCCCGCCCACTCACACCCGTCCACTCCTCTACGCTGTCCTCCCACTACTTGAGCCCCACGCACCTCGTCTCCAACCCTGACACACACACGCAAAACCTCACGTAAACTTCAAGAGTACCTTTCGAACTAAAACCATAGTGTGCAGAACGACAAGTTGGTCATCCAAATCGTCCTCACTCCCACGGGGAAAAATGATAAACTTTTTTTGTAGCACTGAATTAGTCATTTTGTCGAAACCCTTATAATTGTAGCTATAAACGAGTTGCGATGATGACACACGATAGGCGGAAGATGTAGATCTTAAGGATAGTGATTTTGAAGCCTCCGTAAGATTTGCAAATGCGGAGTGTTAATGCAATTATGCGATTGTTGCTGTGCAGCGCCTATTTGCCGTGACCGGTTGAGCGTAAAGGATCACACTCTTGAAGCGAGCTCGCGGGGCACTATTGTACCCTCCGAGGCTGGATCCTTTTCTTGGACATTGTCAATGTTGCAGTAGTTTCTGATATGATGGCCCAATTCGAATTCGCTGGCGCACTACGACGTGAGTATTGTGTTTATCCATATGAGCCCGTAAGCTCTGTTCAACTGAAAAGGAAGAAATCACGTAAACTTCAAGAGTACCGTTCCGGAACTAAAACCATATGTGTCAGAACGACAAGTTGGTCATCCAAATCGTCCTCACTCCCACGGGGAAAAATGATAAACTTTTTTTGTAGCACTGAATTAGTCATTTTGTCGAAACCCTTATAATTGTAGCTATAAACGAGTTGCGATGATGACACGCGATAGGCGGAAGATGTAGATCTTAAGGATAGTGATTTTGAAGCCTCCGTAAGATTGCAAATGCGGAGTGTTAATGCAATTATGCTATGTGCACAGTGATATGCATGGACTAAGGGAAAATTGACAAAACCAGAGGATACGCGAGTGTCGTTGAGAAGTATGGCTACAGTAGTTTCATTACAACTGCGTCCTTTTGTGTTATCAGGACGGTGGTTACAGATGTTCTTCACATTGTGGAGATTTTCATGAAGTATTTATTACACAGCAAAATTGTGTGTGTAAGGACAATTCAACACTAGCAACATCTACTCCTGAGAAACGTTATCAGTGAATATTCAAGCAACAATAACAAACCGAAAATAACGTGAACTCATAACAGTGCTTCCCCGGGTGACAGACGATTTGAGCGAAAAAAGACGTTCAAATTCAAAAGGTCCACCATGCATGAGCTTACGCAAAGCAGGAGATGTGCTTTTAAAAGTGCAAATGCTCCTAAAAGCGCCGTATTTTAATCGGATCTTTGATGAGGGTGGAGAATTTGTGTTATTTCATGGTCGTGGTCGTTAGATCTCGCCACTCCACCTTGCGCTTGAATTATTTCACCGTCAAAGGACTGAAAGGAGTTTGACCCCTAACGCGGTCGTAAAAATGTTTAGATGGCGCAAGGCCGAAATCCGAGACTAAACGAAGTGTTTCGGCTCTCTCTCAGTAGGCTGATACTTGACAGTAGGGTCAAGCATCACGTTGCAGAAAATCATCCGGTTGGTACGTCTTTCCCCACAGAGAAGTATTATCTATACAATCCCCTTTCTCTTCCTTACAAGCTGATAACGCGTCTGCCAGATTTCTGCGCACGTTTTGTGAGAATAGCGCGCTGCATGACTCACTGGGCTCTCAGTAAACTCTAACCCTCCTTGAAAAGTGCATGGGTGAGCCCCTAACAAACTCTACCAGGTGGCAAGCGGGATTCGTGGTTTTTGGGAAGAGTCTGTAGGAAATACGAAAAAGCTGCCGCTAAGAACTTTACTCTGGAAACAACGAGGAAACTTTTTGGCAAACGCGTCTTTTTAATTCTTTGGTGCGCACATATTTGTTCAACTATAAGGCTGCGTTTATACTTTGTGGCAGCGTACGCTAGCGTTTCCAGCGTTCGGCAGCAGTGGCAAGAGGAGGATGGATATCGACCTAGCGTCACTAGCGAGGGCAAGGAAAGCACAAGTATCTATTTAGCGTTCTCACAAGGGAGGTCGTTCAGGCGTGCCCCGCTTTTTCAAACGGTCTTCTGCATTTTGTAGGGGCTCGTATAGACTACAAAAATGGTGTTCACTTTGGCTGAGCGAGCACCGGAATGCCAAAAAAGGAGCGGAATACCTTCCCCAAGAAAGGGCCACTTAAACCACCGAAATGCAGTCCAGGACGCTTACAGCGTCGAATACACGTTGTATTGACGGTGATCTTCTCCTGAATGTTGAAAGCCACTTCAAATATGCCCATTTATGGGGCACGCTTCCCTATATGTAGTGGGAAGGTCGTAGAAGATTGCGGCAGATACATAAGCAATGGGCACTTCAAGTTACCTGCGGTTGTCGAATGGCGGGTAACGCCATCGTTGTGATCATCATAACGGGGGGGGGTCGTATTTGCCCCCGATGGAAAGGGGGGGGTCGTAAAAGCTCATGGAAGTTCTAAGTTTAAGCTAAACCCTGAAAAGAGTGCCTCATGCAGTGAGCGGCTTGACAACAGATCAAACAACCGTCGCCTAAACCTACACCTGGAAAGAATGCCGGACTCTAAAACGCAATTTCCTGATGCTGATAACATTTAGGTGCTGCAAAACAAAAGCCGAAGATGATGACGAAAGCAGAACTCAAGAGCAGCTGTGCTGCTTCTGCAATATCCCTTATTCCCACAGAACATGGCAGTACAAACGGCCTAACAAGGGAGGTCTTTCAGGTCGTGGCGCGCTTTTCAAAATTTTTTTGTTCCTTGTTAGGGGTCCGTACAAGGATTACAAAAATGGGTTTCATTTTTGCTATGCGTTTGTGGGGAAGTCAAAACTGAGTGAAAACAGTTTGACAAGAAAGGGCGATTTTAACCGTCTTATTGGACTCTGTTGTAGCTGTAACACTCCCACACGACACGAAAAATCAACCCCCCCCCCGAGGCCATGAAACCTCCAGTTGACTTGAACACTTTGGTATGCTTCTAAAACGCATGTTTTTGTCAAGCATATCAGGTAATAATTCATTGGGCTCTAATTTACATCACCTCTGCAATGCGCCATGAATAAGACTTTCAGGCAGAGGTGTTGGGAAGGTGCAACTTCTAGATAGGGCTTCCTAAGCGCAAGCACATGTGTTCCTGCGATCAGAAAGGTCTAAAAATGTACTTTCATCTGTTTATTGATCGTCACGTCGTGAGTCCTTTGGTTTATTTATAGATATGGTGCCCTTGTGGGCGGCGATCGTAGCTCCTACCATCGCCCCTTCCCCGTACCGTGTTGTCTGTATGCTCCACCAGCGCCAGTGCTGGACGTGCTTGGGACGTACGTAGGTACTGCGACCTCCCCACTCCTGCCTCGACAAGCAAAATTTTAGTAGAAAAAAAAACAGGAATTTTCCGCTAAATAATGGACAAGGTACGGCGACCTCTCTCTCCTCCCCCTCCCGCTCGACAGCAAAATTTTGTAAAAAAAACCAGAAATTTTTCGGGAAAAAATGGGCAAAGTTGTAGGAGGTTGGGAGAATCTAGGAAAGTGGAATGTAGCATGGGGAGGGATGGGGAGGGGCGTCGTACTTGAGGATGGAATTAGGGGGTGGGGTCGTATTTTCCAGGAAATGATCACAACGTATTTTCCAGGAAATGATCACAACGCAATGGCGTGCCCTGCTTTGGGGAGGATGGGTTCATGGTTCGAATTCTGTTGATGCCGAAATTTTTGCATTTGCTGGAATTTCGTCCTTTAGCATTCTAATTGCCTGTAGATGGGTGCAAACCGAACATGTACGATTTGGTACGTTCTGCCACATTTCGTGAGGTGCTATAGACATTTTTCGTGTTTCTGATCTGCGACTTTGGATGTTTCATTCATTTATTACACACAGGTTCAGCAATTGTGATAAGTCTCTACGAAACATGTGGAGCACAAGCGCTTGCCGCACCAACTACACCTGACAAAGGCCAACAAAGTGCAAGTGACAAGGGACAACGACCTCCCCATCGTTGAACCCGTAGTCAGTCGTAGTCAAGAATGGTTCAGGATGGTCCTCAATGGATCTAGCCGCCACCTAGGTGTACGCCAAGAAGGCGTAGTGAATTCTTCAAGTTACTTCTTCCATGTGCTCGTACATGCTTGGACATGTACGCCTTTGTGATCTACTGGAACTTTGCACATCAGCATCGGTTATGCTGTGAACCCTTACCCACTTCAACATGTCGTTTTCTCCCTGCTAGGGTTATCTGCCGTCTTCTGTCGTCATTTGTCCCCGATTTTTCTCCTCCAACGAAAAAAGAAATCGCGGTTGCTGATGCCTTCAAAGGAATGCTTCAAAACGCAGCAAATGGTGACATCGACTGCGAGGAGGAAGAAGATTCTCTCCAGTTAGGACTGACGAATGACGAGTAATAAGAGCGCAAGTCGCTATATGATTCCCACTCCCTCACTACCGCAGGCTTACAGGTGTCGTTCGATTCGAGCAAATGGATGTCATTTGGGCTCCCGATGACGACAATGAGGATGACTGCAGTAAGAATGATCTGCCATCACAGAAGACCGTTATCTTTCACGGAAAGCCCATTCGCGAAGAGGCGGTTAGTTGCCAGTAGTGATATCAGATTTGATAGGTTCACTGTATCGCCTTTGTGTCTTCGCAGATCCAGCACGCCATCAAATATTACCGTGAAACCGATAAAGGAACTAGGTCTCTGTCATCTATGGCAAGACGATTCAAGTGGATTAAAACTAAAAGCCATATGAATTGCATCAGGGAACTTGAACGAAGAGGTATTCCAGTCTCAGCAATGGACTGTACCACTTCCGCATATACATACATACCTTTGCAAATATTTGATTGTTCTTACTCAGCCATGATTGAGGAAGCTAGGGTGATTAAATTCGAACGGCTTTCTGCGTCCGTCCGTGAAGAGGTGCTGGAAGCTGCTGAAAGAGGTATGCCTTGCAGCTCTCGAACAGAATGGTCGTGTAGTGTTCGACACATGGCGCGAGTCAATGTAGGCCTTCCAGAACTTTCTTTTATCTTATGGCGTCATCCGGCACATGGCCCTTCGTACAAATTTGGAGCACAAACTTATCGATGATTTTCGAGCTTCGAATTCATGGGTTGCCAAATTTTTACGGCAGTGCGGTGTACGCTCGAGAAAGGTGACGCACTTAATTACGTCAAAGAGCCTCCATTGTAGACATAACGTCGAAGCGGAGGCCGACGCTTTAGTGAAGGCTGTACGGGAGGAGATGGGAAAATATCCCAGATCTGCGTTCGCCAACGCGCACTTCGAAGAGGTAGGCCTCATAAGAGATACATTTTGGATTGTCTGTTCACTAACTACATCCCCAGAATAACAAGTTTTCTAGAACTTTTGCTCCGGTCAGGTCCAAGCAAGTGGTGAGACTGGTCCACTCTGTCTCATCACTTACGCACTCATTCACTGCCATGCCTCTCATTTATGCCGACCGTCGACACGGAGAAAAACTACTAGTAATTCTCCCCGAAAGGGGAGGAGTATTCCCCTTGTGTGGCCACTGGCAGGCCCCAACCTGCTAGTGATGGCAGGGACGACGCACATAATGACAAAGGCACACCACTTTCGTCGAGAAGTGTGTGGTCGGGTCGTCTTCCCCTCCGACTATACTCCTAGCGATAGTTGGAGAAGATTCGCGGACCACTCCAATGTGGTGTCAAAGGTGCCAGATGGGAAGGAGGTGCAACTGATGACCATAACAGCGGGCGCGACAGCCCTTTGTCAGCCGTTGGATGTGTACTTCTTCCGTCTATTTGAGCGTACATCCGTCGCATATATGATCATGTAGCGCACTATCACCCTGACTTCACCTACAACAGGGACAACATCCTCAAAGTAAGGTCATTTTGTTGGCAGTGCTAGCCAAACTTATACATATTCGTCCCTGTGCAGGTCATCAGCCAGACGTATCGTCGGTTTTGCGTTCCCATCTTCCGTCCGTGCTTGGCGTACGCCTGGGTGGCGACCGGATACATTGAGGACTATCCTGAACCATTCTCGACTCCGGCTGACTACGGGTTCAACCATGGGGAGGTCGTTGTCCCCTGTCAGGGAAACAACTTGCACTTTGTTGGCTTTTGTCAAGTGTAGTTGGTGCGGCAAGCGCTTGTGCTCCACATGTTTCGTCGAGACTTAACACAATTGCTGAACCTGTGTGTAATAAATGAATGAAAAATCCAAAGTCGCAGATCAGAAACACTAAAAATGTCTACAGCAACGCACGAAATGTGACAGAACGTACCAAATCGTGCATGTTCGGTTTGCATCCATCTACAGGCAAATAGAAATGCTAAAGGACGAATTTTCAGCAAATGCAAAAACTTCGGCATTGACAGAATTCCAACCATGAACCCATCCTTCCCAACGTCTCAGAGACCGATCCACTATCCACTGCGCCATTCGACCACCGCAGGTAACTTGAAGTGTCCACTGCTTATGTATCTGCCGCAACCTTCTATTAGGTTGTCGCTTAAAGGCAGAGCCGACATTCAGATTTGATGGGTTATGTGGGTGAAATGGTGTTGGTGAG